CTACAGTCTGGAGAGCAGTGAGAAGATGCGAGAACACCACCAGGCAAGCAATGAAGAAGGCGCCACGAATCACCGATCGCCACAGAGAGGCTCGACTCGGATTTGCAAAGATGAACCTAGGGAGAGATTGGGCAAAGGTAGATCTGCATCAAAATCTCACCATAGAGCTTAATAATTCCTATTCAGGTCGTCTTTTCGGATGAAAAGAAATTCAATCTAGACGGAAACAAGCGGTACTGACGTGGCTTGAGAAAGGAACCAGTCTACTTCAGCCGTCGCAGTTTCGGTGGAGGAAGTCTATGGTGTGGGGTGCATTCTGCAATGATGTCGTGTTGGATCTACCTGCCGTGAACTGAAGTATGAATTTCAAGGATTACCAGAACGTCTTGGAGTATCATCTAGTATCCTTTCTATGCCATCGCCGTCACCTCAACTATGTCTTTCAACAAGATAACTCCTTCATTCATGTGAGCAGTGCAGCGGATGAGTGGCTGCAAGGCCAATAAATAAGCGTTCTGCCATGGCCAGCCTACAGTTCCGATCACAATCCGATGGAAAATATCTGGGGTATAATAGTCAGCAGGTTTATGCGAATAACCGTCAGTTTCAGGGCACAGAAGAGCTGAAGCCGGCAGTTATCGAAGCATGGAGAGCAATCGATGAGGAACATCTTCGAAACCTAGTCTCTAGTATGCCACGCAGACTCTTTGATGTTGCTCTTAAACAAGGAGGAGCTATAGATTACTAAGTGTTGTGTAAGATTAAGTGCCATCAACGTTAATAAATCATTTACTTTCTCAGGGTGACCTTATAAGTACGAAACGGTGCAAAAGCCGACACTACCTTTAAAAAACTCATAAAAAATATGAGGTGAAGGACATTGCGACCAAAATTTGAATACGGAGGTACATTATGATGTAATCTTTATAATCTTCCTGTGTTCGCCTGAAAATTCCATTCCGGCTGCTTTCTCCAGAATCGCGAAAATCGAGGGTGACCTTATAATTATGAAACGCACTGTACTTGCCTGGGTTGTCAGCGCATCGACGACATTTGCGATGTGGCACCGTGGTAGGTCATGTGGCCTCACTGAGACAAAGAATCTCTAGTGCTTTCATAGTCCGCCAGCCGGCCCGCGAGCGCACTTGCCGGGGGGCGGCGCTTGGCACTTGTTTACAACTGAATTTTGATCGATACCGCAGGTCAAGTCGGCGCTCGGCGGGGCGCGCTTGCGGGCCGGCCGGCGGACTATGAAAGCAGCCAATGGCCTAGTAGGAAGAAAAGGTGTGATGTTTTTACTGAATCGCCCCACCAAACCCATCGGCACTGTAACAGAGCGCAAAGATTCCAACTAATGCAAGTGATTACAATCCCTGCTTTTCACGAAATCCTTCCTACGAGCTGGTATGGAGCTCCGTTCTCCAACCGCACCTAAAGACAGTGACCATGGATGTACCATTTATTTTCATTCAATAATTATATCACAAGAGGTTCTACTTCTGGTAGCGAGTGTGAAAATTGTCAAACCTCAGACTAAGAGTCAGTCTTAATGCTCAATGTGGACAACTCCTTCAACCTGCTCAGCTTTCCTACGTAACTGGCGCCTTCTCTGTAGTCGCTCTTGGGCCTTCATTCATCTCTACGTTGCAACTTACCCAGCTGCGCTCTGCTGCCCATAATCAGTAACTCAACCCAGTGACCTAATTTCAATGGAGTGTTTCCGCTTTTTGCGACTGCTACGTTAACCTTGGAAAAAAAAAGAACTAGATGAATTTTTGAATGGATACCGTACCTCGACAGAAGGCTCTAAAAATCGCAGTATTTTGGCATGCTCATGTGATATCGCTAATGCTATCTCGTGGGCTCGTTTTGCGAGTAAAAATTGTTTCAGTTGCATGAGATGCACTTGTGACAAAGACGGGTGGTGTTCTTCTGGTGGCGAAGGAGAGCTGAAATAGGAGCCATATATCAAGAATTGAAAGTTTAAAAGGGAGAGCTGGTGTAATGGCAACTGCTGTACTAACACACACGCATGGTTCGCGGATCGAAACCAATCCTGGGCAACCAATCCTTACACCCCTCCTGCACTGGTCAAATGGTACCAGTATCGTTCAGCAGTGAGTAAAATAAATACGTTGGGTAGCCATCGCAAAATATGACATAGGCTACATACGCTACCGCCACTTACCGATTGTGGAAGAGCATCTTAGAAAAGGGATTTGTAAAAGCCGAAATTTCTATCTTTTATCAGAAGTTCAAAGTCTCAACCTGTAGATTCCAGAATCTCGAGAATCTCTTGCATTACTTTCCACATTATCACAATCGCTCGAACCGCTGAAACGATTCCTCTCGATATCTGAGCTACCTGGCCTCGATGATGATATCTGAATGCGGATACTTTCTCTGTGGGAATAATGCACACTGAGTTGCAAATCATGGTTAGACGAATGTGGAATGAAAAATCCAAGTATCGATTCTATTGTTTCATAAATAGATCTGATTTGCCGAACGAGAGAGAGTGGGAGAGATAGGAAAAGAAAAACATCTATTCAAAATGCAAAAGAAGTCGTGACGTGTGATCGGGTTTCATTTTTCTGTCCCACAGAACTTCTGTGGTGAATCAATAATTCGGTTTTGTCTCCCTGAGAGGTCTGAAAATATCACGTCCGATATTTTGGCCGGTCTAATATGCTTCCCTTTGAAGACGTCAAGTGACTTGAAACTTCCGTCGATGGAGGGTTTCATATCAATTCTCGTCCAATGTAGAGTAGGGAATCAACCATTACGGGTACGCACTTCCACAAACGCCAGTTGAAATGTGTAGCAGTATAACACGAACCTTGTCATAGTCGTCACCGGCGAGCTTTGCGCGAGGCTCATCGTAGTCGACAAAAGCGCTATCCCTCGCATCTTCAGACTGTGAGTGTTCCGCCTCGATTTCATCAAGTGCTGTGCTCTGAAGCGATAATGTTGGCTTTAATAGAAGCTAAAAAGTCTTTACATAACTATTGAACATGTTCTGATCTCAACTACCTACCGTATCCATTTTGAAGTTTGGTCGTGGAGGCAATGGAGGTCGTACTGGCAATGGCGGAGGAATTTTCGCCGTTGCAGTACAAGGGGAATGTGACCTATAGCTGAGATTCTGACACGATTGGAACTGTCGCGACATTACACCTGCAAAATTCCATTTATTCAATGTTTTTCGACGAAATAACTGGTTTGACGACACGTACTTGGAATAGAGTTCGTGCTGGAACTTCGAGTTCTGTCATTACTTGATAGCGAAGACGCATCTAACACTCCGTCCATTGCATCATAATCCATTTCCGAGTACTGTGATAGTTAAACATCATATGTTGGATCTGCCATGGCATACTTTGGTGAGATAGTAGGACAAAACGGACGCTTAACATGTCACTCAACCAGGCAAGCGCTAAAGCGTCAAGCCCGAAATGGTACTTATTTCGTTAGGTGCCCTATAGCATCTTGCTACTCACTACATACCCGAGAAATTCTGTGGGATCTTGTACCCCAAACACTCACCCCACTGAGAAGTGTAGAGGTGGAACTGGAGCTTCCAAAGTATTTTTGTATATACCATAAAAGCACTGCTGTTTGTGATGGGGTTAGGACACAAGGTCCACTAGCTGGCGTGGCGCGCCAAATGAACTGACCGCGAACCATTCCTCGCCGACGATAAGTTCGAGTTAACCCAAAAAGAGAGTTCAAAAACCTACATCTTCTTCTGCATCCTGAGCATCCCTTGGAGATCTGATGGGTAAGGGTAGCGGGCGATTCACGAGAGCCGCGGGAACGGGTGGTACCATCACGGCTTCTGGGGCTGCGCTAAACTCATAAAGTTAGTCTTGGTGGGCTAGAGTTGGAAAACGTTTCGGAGTCAATGTAGAAATATAGGAAATAAAAACCTGATTTCATGTTGGCTAATGCTTGATTGTGGGCGTTGTTGTCGTGCTGCTGCAAACTGACGAAGGGCCGTTTGATTCAAGAGTACACGTTGAGAGAGTGATCTCACTTGTGGGACTGGAACACGTTGGAACTTGCTCGGCCGCGTAAAGTTCGTTGAAGATTTGGCTTTATGCAAATTCTCAATCGCATGCACAGCGTTGCGGATCACTACTGATCAGAGGAACGATCACGAAGCCAGCGGACGCTAGCCACAGTGAAGCCTTATGATGCATCTTCACAGAATTCCCTCATACTTTGAACATATTTTTGGAAGCAATTTCCTCCTTACCTTGACTCATGTGAGGCTTCAAAACGTGCATGTAACTGGCTTCTAGCTCCTGCCCCTCAAGAATCACTCCGATTTCGCGATCACAAGACACTGGCTTGGAGATAATGCATCCAGAAGCAGCCGTCAGTGGACGTCTATGGCTTCTGTAAAAATTCACCAACGCCGGGACGGAAGCGAACGATTCCTCTTCAAGCTGGAACATGAACATTTTCTGATAAAGGCCATAAACTCACAATTTGAGAAATGGTGAAGCTTGAACATTGATAAAGAAGCATCGTTAGTAGATAGGAGAACAAAGATCAATACATAAAAACTCCGGCATTTTATATTGGTTTCCGACCACACAAAATGGCTTAACACCTCGTCACACCGCAAATCTTTGCCGATCTCAGACAGAGAATATTAAGTCATCATCATTACTGAACCCCACCTCTTACCCCCACTTCCACCCC